TGCTGTTTTTGGAAAATATGAATAACATGACGGAAAGGATAGACTCAGAAGTGTCCCTGTTTGCAGATGATGTGAAGTTAATGAGGAGAATTAAATCGGATCAGGACCTGGCAGGGCCTAAAAGAGACCTACATAAGCTGCAAACCTGGTCCAGCAACTGGCTCCTGGAATTTAACCCCGCCAAATGCAGTCACGAAGATCTGGGAAGGACAAAGAAGACTGCAGATAGAGTATAGGCTAGGTTGCCAAAGACTGCAAACCTCACTCATGTAAAAGGATCTTGGGGAGAGTATAATATCGAACACATCTCCTGAGGCGCATATCATCCAGATAACTTTTGCAGCATTTGGGCGCCTGGAAAACCTAAAACCAGCGTTCCTATACCTCAGTAAGGAATCGTTCAAGACTCTGTACACCGCGTACGTCAGGCCCATACTGGAGTATGCAGCACCAGTTTGAAGCCCACACGTGGTCAAGCACGTCAAGAAATTGGAGAAAGTGCATATGTTTGCAACAAGACTAGTCCCAGAGCTAAGGGGATTGTTCTATGAAGAAAGGTTAAGGAAAATAGGCCTCACGACACTGGAGGACAGGAGGGTTAGAGGAGACATGATAATGACATATAAAATACTGCGGGGAATTGACAAGGTGGAAGTTGAAGACTCAGACGAGTCAGAGGGATTATAGGAAGTAATTCTTTAATGAAGGTCATGGAGCAGAGGACCTAGTAGTGAGCCGTTAAGAGGGGGGCCAGGAGCTATGACTCGACCCCTGCAACCACAATTATGTGAGTACACACACACACACACACACAGTATACTCTATTTCAGTCACTAGGCACCTCTCTTCCTGGATTGGCTTATGCTAGAGAGAGAGAGAGAGAGAGAGAGAGAGAGAGAGAGAGAGAGAGAGAGAGAGAGAGAGAAATAATTCATAAATGTTTTCCCAGCAAACCGCTGACAATGGCCGTCTGAGCCAAGGGGATATCCGCCCCCCTACCAGCACCCTCTCTCCCATCACCTCTCTCCAACACCCTCTCCCATCACCTCTCTCCAACACCTCTCCCTCTTTCCCATCTCCTCTTCTTCTCATCTCCCCTCCTCCTCCCCTTCCTCTTGCTTCCATTTTTTGTCACACTACAGAGAAAAGAGAGAGAAGAGAAAGGGAGCGGGTTGGGGAAAAGGGAGAAAACTGAGGATTAAAAAATGGAAGAGAAGAGAAAGTAGAAGAGGGAAGAGAGAAAGTTGAGAATTGAAGGGAAAAGGAATGAGAGAATAGGAAGTCTGTGTGACCCCTATGGGTGGAGGTTTTCCTCGTGACTATAATATAATATATATATATATATATATATATATATATATATATATAATATATATATAATATATAATATATATTATATGTCGTGCCGAATATGTAAAACTGGTCAATTAGCAAGAACTCATTTAAAATTAAGTCCTTTCTAAAATTTTCTCTTATACGTTTAAAGATATATTTTTTTCATTAATGTCAATGTAAAAAAATTTAATTTTTCACCAAAAGAAATTTAGAAAACTTACCTAACCTTATTATAACAAGTGCAATTTATTTTAGCCTAACCCAACTAAATATATTTTAAATACGTTTATAGTAATTTAATACTAAACAAACACAATGAAATATATTTTTTTCGTTAGGTTCAGAACGATTTCTGCGAAATTATTGCATACACAAATTTTCACTTGTCCTATATGGCAAGTTGAGCGTTGTTATTTAAGCCAAAATCGCAAGTTCTGCCTATTCGGCACGACATATATATATATATATATATATATATATATATATATGTGTGTGTGTACTATGTATATTTCTTTTTTTTTTTAATTTTCACTGTAAAAATTGATAACGTCCTTAGTGAACTAAATATCTTTTTAATAAATTTCACTATACAGCATATAACGTGTTGTGCCATAAGTTGGCTTGGTTTTGTTCGGGTTCAAGGTGGCATTAGGTCCGGTTTCCTCTGGAACGCTTGTAATTTCCTATCTAGACGCGCAGCCTTCTCTCCGAGCTCCGTTGCTAAGGAGGAGATGAGTCGAGGTATTTGACCTGGGTTCTACTTCTTGTACACGGTCAAATGGTTCCTATGATTTGTCTTCTTGTACGTGGGCTGGCTGCTTTTTTAATGCCGTAATAAATTTTTCAGTGTATCAGTATTGGTGTGCATGGTGGTATTTCCTACCCACTGCCTCACTCAGCAACGTTGTTCTCCGTGATCGTATTGACATGGACCACCACCTCATGTTTGCAGCATTGCAAGCTTCTAATGTGTTGATTGCAACACGAATGATTGTTCTGCATCTTGTATCGATTGTTCGAGATTTTTGCATAACCTACTTACACACATAAAGATAATGTATACTTATATATGATTGTGGGAAATATTTACAACTGGTCAGAGAACTTTGTCTCTCTGACGTCCTTAACTTTGAACGACTATGTTAATATATATATGCAACATGTGACATCACAAAATACTAAACCACTGTGAAAAATACTGAATTTCCGAGCGCTTTCCTTGATTATGTCAGAAATCACGAAAGTGCTTGGAAGTTCACTATTCTTCACAGTGTCTGTTATTCATTTTGTGATATCACATGTTTATAGTGACCTAATTTCGTTAATACATATACATAGAGAAGTTATGTACATTCATAAATGATAAACCAGTTTCCGAACAAGCGTAGCAATACTAAACCACACCGCCCTTTCCAATATGCATACACAACACACCAGTTTTTAACATTTAACCCTAAAGTAATCTGTATGCAATTTCCACTGTGTCTGTGCCCGAATACATTACATTTCACACATGTAGACATGTTATATTTTAATGTGACAGAGTCATTGAGATCCGTGGTTTCGATCCCCGTATGGGCGTGTTTCCTTCAGATACGTGCTATCCCTGTTCACCTATCGTAAATAAGTACCTGGGTGTTAGTCGACTGGTGTGGGTCGCATCCTGAGGACAATATTGATCTAATTTACCCGAAAAGCTCTGCATAACCAGAAGTCGAACCCAAGCTGTTTTGGCGGACCAAAACAGCATGGGTTCGACTCCTTGTCTAGTGCAGTGTTGTTATTGATCAATACCACTTGTTCCGTGGGTCCAGTAATATACTGTTTGTTGAGCTAGTACATAAGCAGGGAGTAGAATGAAATTAGGTCAGAGGCGTCCACACCACCGTATGTTCTTCGATGGTGGGAACAACATCTGGCTTGGCTGGATGCACCATTGTTAAGGATTATGTGGTTTATTGGTCTAAAGCGTCATGCGTTTTCTCTCACCATGAGACATGGGTTCACTCCTTGGCTAGTGCAGTGTTGTTATTGCTCACTACCACTTGTTCTGTGAGTACAATAACTATATATATATATATATATATATATATATATATATAATATATATATATATATATATAAAAAGAGAAGAAGGGGAAGGAGGAGGGAACAGTAACTCCTAATGAAACGTTTTCCACAATAAAAATAAAAGTGTTGCACAAATGTTTCAAATCATCAACAAGTCATCTTCATTAAGTTCATTTATCTACTGTAACAAGAGTTTTCTTGGGTCAATCAATATTTTCTTGAATTTCATAAAATACGTGAGGTATGTTTTCAAACCTTCATATGTTGTCAAATGATGCCAATGAGTGTCCAAGATAAGTGTCAAAAAGATTGACTGTTAACTCAGTGCCGTAAGCAGAAAATTGCTGACTCATCAACTTAAATGAGTTTCTAATGTGTCAGTTGTCTTAGAGTTTGTATTTTCAATCATTCCTGAGAGAAAAATAGAGCAATGCTTTTTCAGGAAAACGCTGTATTGCATATTTTAGGGAACACTGTTTTGCAGTCCCTAAAGAAATATTTTATTGCAGTTTCTAAGGGAACACTTAATTGTAGTTTCTAAGGGAACACTGTACTACATGTTCTAAAGGAACACTGTATTGCATATTTTAAGGGAAACACTGTTTTGCAATTTAAAAGGGAACAATATATTGCAAATTCTAAGAAAAACACTGTATTGCATTTCCTAATGGAACACTGTATTGCCGTTTCTAAATTTCTCATAAATATTTCTCATAAACACACAGAAGCCAAAGGTCTTTGATGTCCTTAGACACATCAATATTTTTGTCACCAGTGTTAGAAACCGATCAAAGTGGTACAGTGTGAGAACAGAACATTCAACTGTTATTCGCATCTAAAACACATGTCTTTTTTTTCAAAAGACACAGAAATATTTTACAAAGCTTCCAATCATCTGTTACACAATATAGCCTCTCGACACCGTTTAAAACATCAACAAAAAAATAACACTAACATCAAAGACTGCAAAAACATTGTGTTTTTGTCGTTTTCTTTTGTCCCATAGTGTACCCTGTCTCAGGGGAACAAGGGGTATGCAATTGAATTTTTTTGGGGAGCCACACGTTCCTGCCCCGTAGAGACTATAAATTGAACTAGCTCTACGAAACATACATGTGAAAAAAAACACAATACTCAAGGTTCTTCTTCGAAGGATGTAAATGGGAGAACACGAGAAAGGCAGAAAGGATATATGGAAGTCGACATCAAGGTTATCTATTGACAAAAACTGTCTACGTCTATCTAGATTAAGGACTATCACATATTTTCTATGTGTATAAGTCATTGATAGAAAAGAAATATTTCTATCCACGCTGCTCTCCCTAAGGCCACTGTTACGAAAACAGAATGGAATTGAAGGAAATACAATCTACACACCCCTCTCTCTCTCGTTACATGGTGTGTTACATGGTGTGTTACATGGTGTGTTACATGGTGTGTTACATGGTGTGTTACATGGTGTGTTACATGGTGTTACATGGTGTGTTACATGGTGTTACATGGTGTTACATGGTGTTACATGGTGTTACATAGTGTTACATAGTGTTACATAGTGTTACATAGTGTTACATTGTATGTTACTTGGTGTGTTACAGGAAGGGGCACGCTGTGGTGTATGGTGCAGCTGCCTACCCAGTACGACGCCGTCGCTCCATACACTCTCCAACACGACGTCCTAACCCTCACAAGGTGTACGTATTCCAGCCTTTTTCATTAACAAAGTTATAGCTGATTTTTCTTTATTTTAACAAGGAAAAGTTTAATTTCTCTCTCTCACACACACACACACACACACAAACACACCACACACACACACACACACACACACACACACACACACACACACACTCAAAATGAAAAATAAAAACACCAAATTTCCCGAGAGAAACTGAATGTAACACAAAAAAATTCAATTTACAGAAAAGAACAGTCGTTTACAAGGGAAAAAAACACGTGAGTGAATTAACTGGTCCAGATGTATCGAGGTCAAGAGTTCTCTTGACATGCCAAAAGCAAAGACTAACTTTGATGGTCTATAGAAAGCAAACACTAACTATAATGGCCCTTAGAAAGCAAATTAACCATAATGGCCATTAGAAAGCAAAAAACAACTCTAATGGTCTTTAGAAAGCAAAGACCAACTCTAATGGTTCGGTCAGGTTTGGACCATTAACTAGTCACATACACTGCGTTCGAAAAGTCTCATCTTATCTCTTTCTACGTATGATTTTCTGAGCTGTTCTCGTTGTGTACTGCTTCCCTGAATTTACAATGTGCTATGTTATGCTCAGTTTGTACTCCCACTGAAGATGTTAAATAATCGAGAACGCTTGGGAAATTTCGTGTTGCAATTTCCTTAAGTGGCTCTGCACTTACTTGTATACTGTATCACTTTAGAAGTAAGATTAGTGTATGTATGTTTGTAAGTAGTCTCCTTACTCCTCTATTTTATCCTCCATTCAGGATCACTCTTTTTATTTGTTATGGATTGTGAAGGACCTGCCTAGCATGGGCCAACAGGCCTTCTGCTGTGCTCCTCCTTTCTTGTTATTTTCTTAATGTGTCGGCACTGCGTATTACTGACAGGTTAAAAAATGGGTCATGTGTCACATCTGGGTAAGATTATTGATCAGACCTTTCAAGCCAGAAGGTTTTTCCATGAGCTGAAACGAAATATTACAGCTTCATATCGTTTCAGACCATGGAGTTGATCTCTTGGTTTACAAAAAACACGTAAGCAAACACTAGAAAACTTTGGGTTTTCCTGGGACCATTGAGCATTCTAACTACAAAAAGTAAAAACCCCCGGCTCGTGGGGTTATTTTATCACCCAAGGTTCAAAAAGCTAAAATTTTCTTCTCCGGTTTTAGAGGCGACCTTTCTCCATAATAGATGGATTGTTGCATCATTTTTTTCCCCTACACCCCCTCCCTCCCCTTGGATTTAAACCCAGAAGAAGTTTCCCCCAGGTGTTGAAACGGGTGTCTTAACATCAATTTTGTCGGAAATTTTGAACCATTTTTGACATAGTGTCCAGCCTTGAAAACCCCTGAAAAACAGATGCAAGAAGGGGGAAAAGATTTTACACATAAGAAAAGAAAAAAAAGTGAACTGTCCCAAATATTCTGTTTTTTTAAATGGCCCATAAAATGGTAGACAGAAAACCGACAAGATGAATTAGACATGTGGGGAAAAAATTTGGCTATATTTGAGACGTATGATCCCAGTAGCTTTATCAATGCAATAAAAGGAACAAAGTGAAGACGGGAGAGCTATAAAAAAAAGACGAGGTAATTAGCCCTTTCCTTCTAGGGGGCCCGTAGGGCCCTTTGCAGTGTTTTAACCCGCTTCAGATTTCAGTTTTCTTGAAAATTGATTTTAGAATTTAATCTAAAAAGTTTTTTCTCAGACCTGTTAGATCCCAAACCTAATTTCCCAACCATTTCCCTTTTGGGTTTTTGTATAATCCCCTTTCAGTTTAGGTTGTTCTTCCACGAATTCACCGTAACTATTGCTTTTAAAAACAGGACGTCTCTTATTTTTTTCATCATATTGTGGGTTTCCTGTGTTAATCATATTTTTTTGGAAATGAACCTTTTTTTTTAAGGGAAATGGGTTAAAAAGTAAAAATAGAATGGGAAAAAGTTTGAAAGAGTATAAGTGGAAAAAGTGATAAGGGAAAGAGTAGATAGAGTGAAAGAGTAGATAGAGTGAAAGAGTAGATAGGTGAAAGAGTAGATAGGTGAAAGAGTAGATAGAGTGAAAGAGTAGATAGAGTGAAAGAGTAGATAGAGTGAAAGAGTAGATAGAGTGAAAGAGTAGATAGAGTGAAAGAGTAGATAGAGTGAAAGAGTAGATAGAGTGAAAGAGTAGATAGAGTGAAAGAGTAGATAGAGTGAAAGAGTAGATAGAGTGAAAGAGTAGATAGAGTGAAAGAGTAGATAGAGTGAAAGAGTAGATAGAGTGAAAGAGTAGGATAGAGTGAAAGAGTAGATAGAGTGAAAGAGTAGATAGAGTGAAAGGTAGATAGAGTGAAAGAGTAGATAGAGTGAAAGAGTAGATAGTGAAAGAGTAGATAGTGAAAGAGTAGATAGTGAAAGAGTAGATAGTGAAAGAGTAGATAGAGTGAAAGAGTAGATAGTGAAAGAGTAGATAGTGAAAGAGTAGATAGAGTGAAAGAGTAGAGGGATCACAGACCAATATTACATAACAAAACTGTATTTACCTAAGTAACAAAAAAAGGCACAATACCGTGACTGGAACGATACACAAATAACCCGCACATAAAAGAGAGAAGCTTACGACGACGTTTCGGTCCGACTTGGACCATTGTCAATGGTCCAAGTCGGACCGAAACGTCGTCGTAAGCTTCTCTCTTTTATGTGCGGGTTATTTGTGTACTGTATTTACCTCACTGTTGTCTATAAAATGCAGCTTAGAAAGCAAGTCTGGTGAAATTCTATGCTAATTTAGCTCATTCTGTTGAGTATATTATCAATTCCGTTACTGATACTGAAGCTAAAATCTCGGCTTCACAAATAGGAAACGATTCTGACAGGCGAAACGTTGTCTGAATAATGTTTCTCATTACTGCTTTCGTGTTTGTATTATGAGAGGGATTAGTAAGGTAGCGGAAACTCAGTCAAACTACCCGATGCCTCCATTAAGCGGAGTCTTCATATTACGGACACTACTGGAATGTTAATCCCATTTCTCGTGATAGACAAAATATCCGTTTCTCATGGTCAAAATACCCATTCCTCATGGACAAAATACAAATTTCTCATGATGGACAATATACCCATCTCTCATGGTGGACAAAACACCCATTTCTCATGATGGACAAAATACCCATCTCTCATGGTGGACAAAACACCCATTTCTCATGATGGACAAAATACCCATCTCTCATGGTGGACAAAACACCCATTTCTCATGATGGACAAAATACCATCTCTCATAGTGGACAAAACACCCATTTCTCATGATGGACAAAATACCCATCTCTCATGGTGGACAAAACACCCATTTCTCATGATGGACAAAATACCCGTCTCTCATGGTGGACAAAACACCCATTTCTCATGATGGACAAAATACCCGTCTCTCATGGTGGACAAAACACCCATTTCTCATGATGGACAAAATACCCGTCTCTCATGGTGGACAAAACACCCATTTCTCATGGACAAAATACCCATCTCTCATGGTGGACAAAACACCCATTTCTCATGATGGACAAAATACCCGTCTCTCATGGTGGACAAAACACCCATTTCTCATGATGGACAAAATACCCGTCTCTCATAGTGTACAAAATATGCATTTCTCCTCTGGTTACTCAACGGACAACAAATCCTACGGTCTAGGTTCCCTCTGTTACATTATTACTGTTTTGGCTTTGCTTGGTCACCTGTTTGGTTTAAAATCTTGATATGCTAGTATGAATGTTATAATGATGTGGCAACAGTGGGTGCCGGATTCCATACAGGAGCTTCGAGTATACAGTGTTCACTAACATTGTTTCTAATAATTACAGGTTATTTAGCCATCGTTAATATAAAATGCACATACACATTTAAATCCTAGGTAGTAGGTTGGTAGACAGCAACCACCCAGGGAGGTACTACCGTCCTGCCATGATGGTAGGATTGCTGGTGTCTTTTTTTCTGTCTCATAAACATGCAAGATTTCAGGTACGTCTTGCTACTTGTGCTTACACTTAGGTCACACTACATGTACAGGCATCTTGGTACAAAGACTTCTTCTTACTAGTTCTTGTTCTTGTTTATTTCTTCTTATCTCCATGGGGAAATGGAACAGAACTCTTCCTCCGTAAGCCATGCTTGTAGTAAGAGGCTACTAAAATGCCGGAACCAAGGGGCTAATAACCCCCTCCTGCATACAGTACTAAATTTAAGAAGAGAAACTTTTGTTTTCTTTTTGAGTCGCCCTGCCTCGGTGGGATACGGCCAGTTGAAAAAAAATATAATGCCTGAGCATACAGTAGCTATGTTTCTACAGCATTACTTAGTATTACGAATGGGCATAGGCAAGAAATCCTGAGAGAAACTAACGATGTCTACGAATACATGATACAGAATAATTTACTCAAAGCTTTATTAGGTCAAGCTTAATGAAGCTCTAACGTAGTGGAAAGTTGTCGTAACAGAAGCTCAGTCTGCAATGTGAGTCTTTAGCGTTGTCTTGCAGGAGGATTTCTAGGTTCAGAGAAGCCTACAGTGTCAGGGGCTCGTGGTTGTGTCTCTTCGTACTCCTGTGAGTCGTTTTCTTATCGACTGTAGGCACCTGAGACTCCCATTGCTTCTGTTGCCGTACATTCCTCGAGTCCCAGACACCTTTATAGACACTTGAGTCCAATATCACCGAGTTCTATCCCTTTACCAGCAGACCAAACACGAAAAACCAGTGACCACTGGAGACTACGTGTGTGTGTGTGTGTGTGTGTGTGTGTGTGTGTGTGTGTGTAATTATGCTGATAAATTAGACATATGCAACACTTGGGTATCTTTATTGTCGAAACGTTTCGCCCACTAGTGGCTTCCTCAGTCCAGTACAAAAACCAATAATCAAGGTTAGGAGATACCTATGTGTTTCCCATGTGTCCAATTTATCAACTTGTCGGTTCTCTGAAATATATATATATATATATATATATATATATATATAT